CTTAGTCCATTTGTGCAAGGCAAGGGATACTATTAAAGTTTAGTCCCACATTGCTAGTTTAGTGAGAGTTGTACCTCCTTATAAGAGAGGTTCTTTCCCCACTAGTATGAGCATGAGAACAAGAGGAACATCCACGCGCGCTCCTCCTCCGCCGCCCGCCACGCCTCGCCACGCCACGCCACGCCACGCCACGCCTGCCTCGACGCGGGTTGCGGGATGAGCCGAGCCGATGTATACGAAAGAACGCTGCATCCTTCGGCTGCTGCCTGTTCGTTTGATCTCCCTCGTTCCCTTCAGCTCCCGGCGCAGTCTCTCGCCTCCTTCTCTTGCGCCTATAAAAGGGAGGTCTCTCCTCTCAGAGAGACGCACCGGAACTTCTTCTTCCTCTCGCAAACGGTTCCAATCTCTGACCTGCTGCTGTCTTCCTCATCCGGGCTTGCGGCATGCACCGCGAGTCGTACGGGAGAAGGGTGATAAGGCTTTTAGGGAGCGCTCCGCGCGACTACTGACTTTTTCATCACGGACTCCGATGACTACTTCCCCGATGACGACTTCTTCCCCGACATCGACAACCTCATCGACGACATGGCTGGAGAGGATGTCGACCCCAACTCCAGTGCTTCTGCTGCTGCTGTCCCGTATGTGTTCTTGCTAGAAGTCCTGTCACAGTTCTTTGCTCTAGTTTCTGCCCTACATATGTTATGTTCTACTTCGCATATGCAATTTCATCTAGTGTCTGTTCTAGATGTGTTTAGTTCAAGTTCATATATGCATATGCTATTTACCTTCTCTCCGTCAGATTGCATGACTTGCTTTATCTCTGCTATATTAGTCATGCTTTATCTAGTATTTTCGTTAGCAAAATTATTTGGTAAATTGCTCATATTTCCAACAATCCAAAAAACTTATTATAGGCAATTTACACCAAGTGGTTTTGCTGCTTCCATGAGACCTCTTATGTTTGAGGGTATCCACTATAAGAGGTGGCACGTGAGAGCAGTCTTATGGTTTCAAACCATGAGTTGTTATGACGCCACTCTTGGCAAACCTGAAGGGGAGTATGATGCCAAACAGGAACAAGCTTTTCAGAAAATGGATACTCTATTTAAGGCTACTCTCTTGAGTGTTCTTGGTGAGAACATAATTGATGCTTATGCGTCAATTGATAATGGAAAAGATATGTGGGACGCACTCGAGGCCAAGTTTGGGGTCTCGGATGCTGGCACTGAGCTGTACATCATGGAGCAATTCTATGATTACAGGATGACCGAAGAGCGCTCTGTGGTTAAGCAAGCTCATGAGATAGAGTCATTTGCTAGAGAACTTGAGCGCTTCAGTTGTATGGTATCGGACAAGTTTGTTGCCGGAAGTATCATCACTAAGCTTCCTCCTTCGTGGAGGAACTTTGCTACCTTACTGAAGCATAAGAGCCAGGAGTTTTCCGTTCCGGATCTCATTGGTACTCTTGATGTGGAAGAAAATGCGAGAGCAAAGGACATACGTGCTCGAGGTATTGAGGAAGGATCTAGTGCCAATCTGGTACAGAAGAAGAACTTCCAGCCTCACAAGTTCAAGAACAAGGGCAAGTTTGATGGTAGAGCAAAGTTTGATAGGAAGAATAAGGCTGTGCAACACACGAACTTCTAGAAGAAGAATGACAAGAAGAAAGGTGTTTGTCATGTGTGTGGGGATCCTGATCATTGGGCTCCTAGTTGCCCTAATCGCTATGACAAGCGTCATCCTGGGAATGGCGGCAAGACCGCTAATGTTGTCATTGGAGACACTAACATGAAGGATGCTGGGAATGGTATATTTCCCACTATTCTTTCAGTATGTCATTCTCCTGATTGGTTGATTGACACGGGTGCTAATGTGCATGCATGCGGTGATATTTCCATGTTTTCGTCTTATCGGACCGCAGGGACTTCAACCGTGCTAATGGGAAACGGTTCAAGTGCTTCTGTTCGTGATGTTGGCACAGTCGATCTGAAGTTTACTTCGGGGAAGATCGTGCGGCTGAAGAACGTGCATTATGTCCCCTCCGTCAATAAAAATCTTGTTAGCGGATCTCTTCTGTGTAGAGATGGCTATAAGCTTGTCTTTGAGTCGAATAAATTTGTTATATCCAAGTATGGAACCTTTGTTGGTAAAGGCTATGAGTCAGGAGGCCTATTTCGTTTATCCTTGTGAGACGTTTGCAATAAAGTTGTTAATCATGTTTGCAACAATAGTGAATCAAGTGTGTGGCATTCAGGTCTTTGTCATGTTAACTTTGGTTGCATGTCGCGACTAGCGAAGTTGAACTTAATCCCTAGTTTCACCACCATCAAGGGATCTAAGTGTCAAGTTTGTGTGCAAGCTAAGCAACCTCGTAAGTCTCACACAACTGCGGAAACGAGAAATCTTGCACCACTAGAGCTCATACATTCAGATCTATGTGAAATGAATGGTGTTTTGGCAAAAGGTGGAAAGAAATATTTCATGACGTTAATTGACGACTCCACTAGATACTGCCGTGTGTATCTTCTGAAAACTAAGGATGAGGCTTTGAACTTTTTGAAGATCTATAAAGCTGAAGTGAAAAACCAACTTGATCAGAAAATCAAGAGGCTTAGGTCCGACCGTGGTGGAGAGTATTTTCCCAGTGAATTTGATGCTTTTTATGCGGAACACGGTATAATCCATGAGAGGACGCCTCCCTATTCACCTCAGTCAAATGGGGTGGCCGAAAGAAAGAACCGTACTCTAACAGATTTGGTTAACGCCATGTTAGACACATCGGGTCTCTCCAAGGCATGGTGGGGGGAGGCGATATTGACTGCATGTCATATCCTAAACCGAGTTCCCATAAAGAATAAAGAGATAACTCCATTCAAGAAATGGGAGAAGAAAAGATTAAAACTCACTCATCATAATAGCTGTCCAACACCCACCCATACCAGACCAGCATCATTTTCGTCGTAAGATTCCTTACAAGCACATAGACATCAGCTTCTCATCAGCATGGTACTCAAGAAAAATAGCAGCAATGAAATAAACGCAACCACATAGTTGCCCATGTCTCGCAGTAACCCAAACAGCCGATCCGAAAAATACGCTCTGGCCCCCGCGTCGCTCGTCCTGGGCGACACGGGCGGCGGCACCGTCCCCCGCCCAACCTACCTCTCCTCCGGCCTGCCTCTCCGCCCCGCCATCGCCGGAGGACGCCGCCGGCAAAGCTAGTGCGGCTGACGGCGGCGGCGGGGTCCCTGCTTGTGGTTGTTCTTCCCGAGGACACGGGGACCCAAAGAAATCGAATCCATCCATGGTTGCAAGTGAAAGCCAGATTTTCAATTGGCCAGACGTGCATGCGTCGCTAGTCAAGAAATCAATCAAGGTGCCTATGTGCTTGCTTGAGACTAGCATGTACGCTCTCATCGACGGTGACGGAGAAGACTCTTAGCGGTGATTCCATGACTGTTGATGGCTGTCAGGCCGGCAATGGGGTCGTTCCGGCTGGATCTTGTGACAGCCGTCCCTGGCCTTCACAGCTCGTACGACTCCGTGCTTGATGCGGCAGCCGTCGTTGGTGTGGCTGCTACGCCTAGATCTCGCCCGGCGGCAGCCTCGATGTGGATGGCGCCGGCCATCGAAAGATCTTCATGAGGGTTTCTACTTCTAGATCCGGTGGTTGACATCACGGTGAGATGCAAACTATGGACAATGGCTTGAAGCAGAGGGATGGTGGTGCAGCGGTGGCGGTCACACATCGCATGTAACTGCTGGGCTCGTGGAAAAGTGGTGGCAACAACACTTGAGTGACTTGATGGTGGTGCTACTAGGCACCCGGTCTCGAGCTCCAGGGTGAAAGCCTAGGTGACCCGAGTTGGTCATGCCTAGCAATGGCGATGTTTTTACGTCGTTACCTTGTTGAAGGTATTGCTCGGATATGCTCGGACTATTTCTTCAGGGTGAAAACCTAGATTCTGACCTTAGGTGGTTGGATCCGGTGACGGCGGCTATTGAGCATCGCTCCCTTCTTGAAGGCGTTGCTATTGAAGAATCTCGTCGTTCGTTTGGTGTAATAAGATGGTTGGTGCGGATATGGTTATTGATATAGTTTGCCGATAATGGATTTGATCGCTTCAGGGTTCTTTTTTTCTCACCTACGCATAGCTTTGGTCTTGTATGACTTTGCTATTTGTTGGTGTATTTTTGTGTGCGTGTGTTGATGTTGGCTGTGTGCATCCTAAATATGCAGAGGCCGGGTGTGCTCATTGTGTTTGTATCTTCTTGATGCTCCATTTTGAGCCAATAAAATTCACCCTTTGTCGAAAAAGTTGCCCAAGTCTCGGATACACATACAGATTATTACTAGATCTGGATTAACTAAGACTAAATTATTGGACAAAAACTTAGATAAAAACAACCATGTCTCAACACATATAATTAAGATAGGCATGCCCAAAGGGAAAGGCAATTTTTGTGGAGCTGGCTAGAACTTGGAATACGTCATGGCCCCGAACTTGGTATAGAACAAACGCTTGAACTCCTTGAGAACTGCAGCCTCTATACACATGATGACGCGCACGACTGCCGTCCCCCTGCGCGCTCTCCAGCAGGTGGCAAAGCCTCGTCGGTTTGATTCAGCACACAACGTAGCCAATGGCTTTCCCCAACTAAAATCCAAATCATAGAACGGCATGCCAAGCCAACTAACCATTCGCATATCTGTCACAGGCAGACTACCTAAAGCAGTGCGGTTGTCTGTCTTTGTTAATGCCAGCTAAATGTAGTCGACCGCCGAATGCACTAGCTCATCATTCACCCGACTGATGGTGTCTCTAATTCGGCGTGCAATGTAGGTCAGCTCGCCCAAGGCAATGCGCTGCCTTCGTCGGCAACACTTAGATTTATTAGTGCGTTGCCAAAGTAGCCATCCGGGAGTGGTGGCATCATGCTGCGCCAGATGTTGGCCACAAACGCCAGGCGTGTTGTGGAGTCTGGTGGTAGACGCTGCGCTAAACACATGCATTGCCAGTTTGCCACACATGGGCACTCACGACACTGAAGGTGCTCACGCTTCCGCCACCGCAAACGTGTTCAAGAGTGGAAACTTGGTCCTGCTGAAGGGTGAACGCCTCGTTGACAACAGGCCCTGGAGTCTGGGATAGGATTATCTTGGGGAAAAAAGTTGAGAGTGCATCAGGGTGAAAAATGGGTGGGTTGCGTGCACATAAGCGGGTGCGGTCATGGTAAGGGAGGTTCACCACAGCCTGGACGCGGTCCCTAGAGAAAGCTGACCATGTCCGGAAGAAGTGGAATGCGGCAGTTCCATCCATAGCGCCATGGTGTGTCGCCGTCCCTAAGACCACCCCGCCACACTTCAAGAATGTCACCTACATATATTGATTACTGGCACACATTACATGGAGTACATGTTTGTACTATTGTAGTGTGCTACTAAATTTTTTTTGGCAGCTCCGACATTTCATTATATAAAGAAAGAGAAGGGACTAGTTCACATACAAAACTGGCAGAAACCAAATGTAGTGTACCAGCATAGTGTTGATGTGGCTAGAGAGCAAGACGAAATGAAAGAAAGAAGAACTAATTCAGAAAGAAACACACAGACCTGAATGGCCCACAAGATGCCTGCTGAGTCGTCGACGAGGGGAACAAACAACCTCCTTAGCCTTGGTGATGGCTTCAAGTCACTAAAGTCATCAACAGTCAGACGAGAGCGAGCCACAAGGAAAGGTAAACCCTCGCCGTTGCAGTCGATCTCCAATTTGCCCTTGGCGTCCGGTCTGAGACGGCCGGCCAGGGGGTAGAAGGCCACGAGGGCCTTGCCCAATGCCGTCTTCAACCTGACCACATCAAAGAAGTCATCCTCGGTGGTTCCGACGGAACCACCACGTCGACGGTAGAAATGGATAAGTGGGGTGTGGCCTTTGTTGGCTAGAATGAGGTCGAGCATTGACAACCACAGCGCTCTTCCCGGTGTGGCAGCGGCCGGCATCACAAAGCAAGACTCTACCATCTGCACCTCCTCCTCACCGGCCATTCTAGCTAGCTCCTTGTGCTCCTCTCCTGGCCGTTCCTGAGCAGCAGTTATGTAAAGCGTAAGGATCACATTTCACAAGAAGCAAGGTACCATTTGGGGACATGCATGTGATCGGTGGTCTCTAGTACGTCCAGAAGTTGATGGAGTCATTGATGGCGATATCATTATCGTCAGTGCATACTATGCTGCTATCTCCTATTGATTGCAATCAAACACTAGATGGTGACCCATCTCTGTCGGCAAATACTGCCTGTTAGTTAAAAATCAATACTTAAAATCAAACACTAGATGGTAACCCATCTCTGTCGGCAAATTCAATGGTAGATCTAAGGCATCTTCAAGGGCCATGTATGTACACAAGCGTGTAAAAATTATATCAAATTTAGACGTTTCAGTTTTTTTAAACTTTTTTGAATGCTCACCAGACATGTGTGCACAACACCTAAAATATTCAAACCAAATTCGAAATATATATAGAGAAAAAAAACACAAATTCAGCAAGATAGCGTCAAAAAGTCAAAAGCAAAAAACCACACTATTCACACCTGGATTTGTTTCTTTTTCAAGTATATCAGTACAATTACACCCTTGGTAACCTGCCTTACTTACACACTTGCCCGTCTCGAGTACACTCCAAGACATAAAATTATTAGTTCTGGATTTACTGAAACTAATCACTCGACAAAATAATTGAGTAAAGTACACCAAAAGTTGTCATGACTGTTCAGTTTCATACATTAACTTAGAAATCTCACAATTTGCTATAAGTTATGCACCAATGGCGGTATTTATTATGGACGACGCTATGTGTCAGCCGGTGGATCTCTTTAAAAGATCTGCCACCTCCACAACTGTTTGATCAGGTGCAATCATGGTCCGACCCTTTCATCATCTTTGTAACAAAGGCAGTGTTGCATAACCCTTTGCAACATACCTCATGTTGCAGAAATATTTGCAACAGAGGACTTGTTGCAGAATTTTTTTCTGCCTTAACTTTTTTTGCAACATGAGTGTTGTTGCGGAAGGACTTCTACAACACAGATGATGTTGCAAAAAAATTGCAAGGTGGTAGAGGCACGCAGCCAATGGTCGGATTGAACTCGGATCTGACGGCTGCATGGGCGGCGGAACTTTACATGTGACCTAAACGTATTACACCACAGGTTCTCTGCCTTACTACATAGTTGTCCATTTCTGCAATACATTTGGAGCCATACACACCATTAGATCTGGATTAACTGAAACAAAAATTAATTATCCAGCAAACACTTGGATACAAATAACCATGACTCGTTACATCGGAGGTGCTCAAAGAAAAGAAATAAATGGAGGCAGCGAGCTAGAATTTGGAATACACCATGTTGTCGAACTTGGCATACAACAAATGCTTGAACTCCCCGAGAATTGCTGCCCTATACACATGACCAGGCGCACACTGGCATCCCCTTGCATGCTCTCCATCAGATGACCAAAGCATCAACGGTTTGATACCACGTGCAACATAGCCAGTGTCTTACCCCAACTAAAATCCAGATCATACAACGGCATGCCAAGTCATCTGTCCATTCGCATGTCCGTCGCCGGCAGATCACCTATGTCAGGGTGGTTGTCCCTCTCTGCCAACACTTTTTTTAGAACGAAGGCTCGCGGAGAGCCCGGCTTTAAATTAACAAAACCATCAACCGGCCAGAAATTACAAACACACATAAACCGCCTCGGCCAAACGATACAAAGGGACACTCTAGGAAGCTTACAACTCAACGAAGCGCACAAGCCCAAAAAAAATACAAGAAAAACAAAGCTCACTGCTTGTCTTAGCCGAAGACAACAGCCAAACAGACATCCAGGATAAGAACACACACAAGCATGACGAGGACCTGCTTACAACAGAGTGTAGAAGTGAGCCCGCCAACGCCCAGGGAGAAAGAGTACACACATCCTCCGTCTCTCTTGCCGCAGAGGACCCTTCTCTCTCGCCATGGCTCGCAAGGCGTTGTACCGTCGGACTTGAGAGACGCTCACCCTAGAGCAGGAGAAGTGCTAGCTTCGAGACCTCGAGCAGCCGCAGCACACATCCACTTGAACATTCAAGCACTCCGCCACTACTAAGGAAAAGCTTATAGGCAGACGCTTACTAGTAGCGCGGATTTATACCCCTCGCTACTGCTACTTACTAGTAGCGCGGGTTTTTACCCCCCGCTACTACTAAGTTGATAGTAGTCGCGCGGGTTTTTACCCCTCGCTACTACTAAGTGATTTCCACCGTGCCTCCCGGGACCAGCCGTAGTAGTAGCGCGGGTTATAAACCCATGCTACTACTAAGTTGATAGTAGTAGCGCGGGTTAATAAACCCCACGCTACATGCATCTGCTCCCACCCCACCAACCATCCCACGCCATGTCTAAAAAAAACACTCAACGCCCGATCCAGATCCCCAATTCCGTCTCCGCTCCCACCTCCTCTCCTCCTCTCCCAAGTCCCAACCCACTCGCCGCCGGCCTCCCTTCCACCTCCTCTCCTGTCCCAACCCACTTGCCACCGGCGAGCACTAGCAAGACAGTCCACCAGCACGCCGTCTGCTGTAGGTGGGCTTCGCTGCCATGAGCCATTGGATATTTGTCCGGTGAAGGTGGAGGGCCGCCCCTACCCGTCCCCGGCAGCCGACGACGGCGGGGCGCCGAGGCCGATGGATGGGCTTGGCGACGCCGGGCCCACGCCGTTCCTCACCAAGACCTACGACATGGTCGATGACCCCGCCATGGACACAGTCGTCTCCTGGAGCGCCACCAACAAAAGCTCGTCTGGACCCCCACCTCTTCGGCACCGTGCTGTTGCCGAGGTACTTCAAGCACAACAACTTCTTGAGCTTCATCCGCCAGCTCAACACCTATATGTAAGTTGGACCTCCTGCTGCTTTGCTTTGGGCCATTTATGCCTAACAAATTGACTGATTTATGCCAATTGCTAGTAAACTACAAGGACTAGGAATGAGTAGAGCTTGGGATTACGCAGACTACTTGAGTATGTGCTCACCCTAGGATTACCTAAAATTTTGATATATCCAATTTTGCCTCATGTTAACAGTCCCGGAGGCGGTTGTCAGCTGTAGTTCAGAAGGTGTGGCATCGGAACAGCGACATATTAATCAACGAAAAAAATAGCGCGCTACAAAGTATAGTGAGGCCCTTCTCCAAATGCTATACAAGTTATATCACGCTAATAGCGTGCTATATTTCAAAATAGCGTTTGCAAAAATAAAAAATATATCCAGAAATAAAGTATTTCAACAATAAATTCCCCCCAGGAGCGATACATGCACAACGGCCAAATCCAAGGCAGCTTGTCCCTGTACTATTATTGATGTTGTGCTTGACACACCTATGCCAACATTCAGAAAACAAGAAACATAAGTAATTCTGTACAGATAGAGGCAACATTAGTATTCATATTAAGAAAAAAATACTCTCTATATGTTCTCAGCGATAAGCAAGTAAAATTCATATTCAGAGAAGTACTCTATATTGTAAACGTGAGCCATAACAAACAGCTAGAATTTTACTTACTTCCACTCTAAATTCATATTCAGAAAAGTACTCTATATTTTAGTGGAACTACAAATTTTAGACTGATCAAGCACAGTGCCACATCCCAACATCAACATCAAAGAAATCAGCAGCTGCAGGGAGTGAGAGTGGTGTGGCCGAGGGTGGTTTTGGGTCTGCTGGGCTGTGGCATGGTTTCCTATTTTTCTGAATCTATTCCTCATGTGTATGCTATAACGCTATACGCTACAACATTATAGCGCCGTGTAGCGCGCTAACTACGTGAATAGCGCAATAGCGGCTAAATCTGCTAAAATATAGCGTGTCCTATCCAAATACGCTATAATGGTGCTATAGCATCGTTATAGCGTGCTATTTTTTTCGTTGATATTAATAGATCAAGCTAGCTATGGGGTGATTGGCAGCAGTAGTGGTTTGGGAGCTAACAGTTGGGGGTGAAAAGGAGGTCCACTGCAGTTCAAATTTTAGCTACCATTGACATTAAAGTACTCATATCACTAGTAGAAAACAGGGCTTTGGTTCGGCCAGGAAAGAGCATTAATCCCGGTTGCATTACGAACCGGGACTAATGTGAGCATTAATCCCGCTTCGAGCGGCTAGGGCACCGTACAGGCATTACTCCCGGTTCAAATGGGACCTTTAGTCCCGGTTGGTGCCACGAACCGGGACTAAAGGGTGTGATGCCCATTAGTACCGGTTCGTGGCACGAACCGGTACTAAAGGTCTAACCTTAACCTTTAGTACCGGTTCGTGCCACGAACCGGTACTAATGGGGTTGAGGCATTAGTATCGGTTCGTGGCACCAACCGGTACTAAAGGTTAGACCTTTAGTACCGGTTGGTGCCACGAACCGGTACTAATGGTGCAATTTTCAAATCCTCCCCCCTCCCCCCGTGTATCGCCTTTTTAGTTTTGTAAAAAGCAAAAGAAAATGATAAAAACTTCAAAAGTTAAAATCCTTCGACATGTAGTTATGTTACTACATCTACTAGTTAGGAAAATTTAAAAATTTAAATTTGGACATGTTTTGCAAAAAGTGTAGGGAAAATGTAAAACGGCTATAACGTTTTCATACGATGTCAGAAAAAACGTATAATATATTAAAATGTTCAGCACGAAAATCCGCATCCGATTTTGACTGCCTACGGCCTGTTTGCAAATTTTTAGAATCCTCAAATTCCAAAAGGAAAAAAAGTTTTACTCAACTTTCAGTTTTTTTTAAATTTTCGTTAAATCTGGTCAAACTATGGTCAAACTACTTATTCAAGAAATATTTGTGTTATTAAATAATTATTCAAGAATATTGGTGTTACTAAATAATTATTTCAATTTTTCTTGAATGTTGGTCAAATCTGGTCAAACTGTGGTCAAACTGTTGTCAAACAATGGTCAAACTACTTATTCAAGAAATATTAGTGTTACTAAATAATTATTGTT